TGTAATACATGTAGTTATCATTAACACATAATATAGGACTAGTTTCCCATCTTACACGTGTAATACGTGTAGTTATCATAAACACATAACTTAGGACTAGTTTCCCATCTTACACGTGTAATACGTGTAGTTATCATAAACACATAACTTAGGACTAGTTTCCCATCTTACACGTGTAATACGTGTAGTTATCATTTACACATAATATAGGACTAGTTTCCAATCTTACACGTGTAATACATGTAGTTATCCTTAACAATATTCTCGATTACTTACCCCAAAACGTAAAAAAATAAAATAAAAAAAGACTAGAGAATGTAGCCTATTTGAAGAAAATTCGAAACAGTTAACAACAGATAAGTCCAAAACAGATGATTTGTTTTTTAATAGAAAGATTCTTGTTTGACTTCGGTACACTAAGGTTCGGATGCTCAAAATCACTAATGCTGAATGTCACCGGGTTGGTGAAATCACGATCGTTATATTTATAGTTATAGTTACATCTCAACACTTACACCATCAAATTTATAGGTAGGTTTTTCATAAAAAGGAAAGTCTAACAAATTATTATGAAATACGATTTTAATTGGTATCTATTTCACTCCAATTAAATATCCACTTCGTAGTACACATACTGAGGATTATGTCAAAGTGAATCTGAACACTTGTGTCAACACTAAACAGGTTCACCTGGTATTTTGTTTTCAATTTAAAACCTGCTGAGTACCATACTGGTTTATCAAAGGAGTACAAGAAGCAAAGTTGCAATAATAATTATATCCTCTATTTATAGAAATTAAATTCACTTTGCTCAAAGATGCTCTAGAACAAGTTTGGTAAAAATCCCTTCATCGGTACAAAATAAGGATCTTTAATGTTTTCCTCCATTTACCCTAATCGATCCCACCCGACTGCCCCGAAGAAGGGGGACCACACCTCAGTTTATACAAAATTGATTATTTTGTCCCTAAGCATTCTCCTGACTGCATAGGGTATAAACCCTTTCCCTTGTAAAGTAGGAGAATACATTCCTCTATTTCCCCTATTTTGCCCCACCCCTCTGCCCCAAGGAGGGCCACACCCTCCGTTTATACAAACTTGAGACCCCTTTGTCCAAGGATGCTCTAGAACAAATTTTGTCCTATATTAGTTGAGAAGAAGAAGATTTTTGCAAATTTACCTATTTGGCTCCGCCCCTATACCCCCAGGGAGACAAAAGCCTCCGTTTATAAAAAAACAACAACTGAGAACCCGTTGGCCAATGATGCTCCAGACCAAATTTGGTCAAAATCCTCCCAGCCGTTATGGACTAGTAGCGTTTTAAAGGAAAAAGTTGACGATCAACGGACGCTGCGACATGGCATAAGCTCTCTTGGCCCTTAAGATAACATTATTTATTTTCAACTCTTGCACTAAAAATGTAAAGGACACCGAAATAGATACAGAAACCCTCTGTTGTTCAAACTGGCGAGCTAAATCGTGATGTGAAAACTATGGATCATCGTGTCTTTTCTCCTAAGGTGAGCTTATCGCTAGTGCTAACAAGGGATTCGATTTCTATTCACGATTCAGTCGCGGAAAATGGTATGTGTGACACGAGCTTGGACATAGCTTGCTATTTATAACAATAAGACATAACATTTCGGTGTTTCAGAGCCATACTAAGGAACATATGTGGGTATTGTGTCAACCGTTTCGGTCTCGTCACGTTGCGATTGATTGGCATCGTTCTACCGACTTATTTCTCAATAGATTTTTTGGAAAGTTTAAACTGAAGCAGCATAAGAACACACCGCGAGGGCGAATTCCAGCATCAACACCAAGATAGTGATTGATATTTATAGTTCAGCCATCGGCCATGGGGACCATGTCTTACAGGCGTTTTCTATTTTTTGTCAACCGGCCTTCTTGCTGACTTGACATCTACAAACTTTTAAAAATGCATGATATCTGGACGATATTAAGTACGCCATATGTCAAACTTGCCTAAAATGTCTTCGCCATACATATCAATTATACTTCTCAACTGTCTATTATCCTACAAAGATGAGAGTAAATATATCCTTTTTAATTATAATATCTTTTTAATGCATTATACCTGCAATATATTTTAGTACGTCACGTTTATAACTGGTTTAAATTATATGTACCATACATATTTCATTATAATTTTCAACAATTTAATAAAGTGTACTAAACCTTTTGACCGAATTTGGAACAATGTATGATACAAATACAAATAGCGATTTGGAATCTCTAGTACACGTGTTCCGTCTTTGCGTATTGCAGAGTTATCTGCTCTTGTGTGCATGTATTGATTGTTACTCTGGTTTGTCTCGGCCAGGGGACAGAACCCTAAGATTTCCTCACAGGGGCGAACGCTCAACTAAAGGCCAAAAGTGAGGCATTGTCACGGGAGACATTAGGAAGAAGAAAGTTGCTTAGAAAGAAGAGAAAAGATAAGATCCTAAATTTAGTCGCCTCCTACGATCATGCAATGGGGACAGCGGGTAAATTCTTACGCCCTACCTGCAGGGATCTAGACATGAATAAAAACCCTATAGACTATAGATTGTTATACTTTCACTCTGACTGACTGAGCTACCTGGTGAAGTGTTTTAGCCCAGCAGTAATATCCAACACGAAACTAAGGGTAGGCTTTCATGTATACGACACACCAGAGCGCATTAAACAGGGATCATTTAAAATAATTCTGCAGA